AAAGTTTCAAAAATCCAATAGATTTCGTTCCACTTCACAATTGTGTCCCACTTGTTGGTGATTCTTCACATAAAATAAAAAAAATATATCTTTATGTTTGAAGCCTGAAATGTGGCAAAAGGTTGAAAAGTTCAAGGGGGCCGAATACTTTCGCAAGGCACTGTATATGCCTTTTGTATTCTGCTAACCCTCAATATAAGATCTGTTATGTTTATGCACATTTTATGCATTAATAAATGTATTTCATGTATTAGTATCCGTGTGTGTGCGTTGTTTGAGTTATCCCGCAAGGTTGATTCTAATAGCCATCAAAGAATCATTTTGTGACTTACTGCTACAATTAATAATTGTCCCGATAAATGCACAAATTTATTGGTGCCTCGTGAGAGGATGCCTACACTTCTAAGACTTTAAAAGAAGACATCTTCACTTTGTGTTACTTTAAAATTTTTAAGATGCTGTAGTGATGTGAAGGCTTTAATTTACTGTAACAATCAGAAATTGTAACACTAAATTGCAAGAATATTTGACTACTTTTAGGAATCAATCAAACATAATAATTTACAGTCTCACACACGATTGTTAATATACTGTACAATATACAATTTGTTGATATAAAACCAAATCATACATAAGAAACAACAGACATAATAGCAGACCATTTTACAGATATATTCTATGATATGAAAGCTGATCGTTCATTTAACGGTTATAAGGAGAAGAGTTACTAACTTAAGAGTTGAAATATATTGACTACAATGTGTTATGATTTACCTTATAGGTTTTAGCAGCCTCATATAATTACATTCCATAAATACACATTCAGAAATTCAGATTTGGAAATGTGTTTGGAATAATAGTTCATCTCTCGAGAATTACAATGTGAATAAAGAAGTTTTATACTCAGTGATAAGTTCATTAATTGATGAGTTCAACTTCCAACCGAGAAGACTGAACAGGCTGGATTGGTCCATGGTCCGACATGGCAGCTGCTCACTCATTTCAGATAGTATCCAGAGAGTGTCCAGTGTGCAGAAAGCAAAGGAGAGAGCTTTGCCTAGAGTTGAGCCTAAGCAGCTAGTGTTGGTGTAGCGGAGCTGGTTGCAGCGCAGTGACATCACTGCCCTCACTACATATAACAGGGCCCTCAGCAGCCTGGGCTGAGGGAGATCTCCTTTAGCTAAGCCGGCTGGTTCTCTGTTGCCTGACGCTAGAGAACTGACTTCACCACCCTCCCTGCATATAACAGGGACCTCTGGGATCTTTTCTGATGGCATCCTCTTCCCCTGTGATTCTGACCCACTTTGGTAGGCAGCTTTCCTCATCCAGGACCCCAGGGCTGTCATCCTTCCCTTAGCCTAGCAGCTCCTTTCCTGCCCTGTGGAATCCTGCCCTGCACTTTAGTCTGTTCTCCAACTTCCTTCATTCCTGCTGCCTTTCTGGCTTCTCTCTGAGGCAACTTTTTCTCCAGACATTAAGGACTCTTTCCTTTCTCTCACTTTTTTCTCCTGCTGTCTGGGTCACTTTTTCCTTTTTCTGTTTTGTTTAGTTTCTAGCAACCTTCCAGTGCCCCAGCAAAGCCATCCTCTTCCTAGGCAGCCTAGCATCTTGTTCCCGCTCTGATGCTTGGTTGGTATCACTCTATTAGCTGGAGCTCCCTGAGGATTCCTTTGTTTCCCGGGCTGGGATTAAGTATGGGTTTTTTTGTTACCCCTTCCTTGCAGATGTCTCCCCCGGTGATCCAAAGGTTGCATGGGTGTCCAATTTCTTTCACACTTGGGCACTTCCACTGGAGTGAGAATTCTGGAAGACTGAGCTGGTACCTTACGCCTGGCCTGGTCAGTGAAGCTTTTGTGGAAAAGCACACCTGTGATCCCTGGTGACTCTTCCTTTCTTCAGTGTTTTGGCCTTCGAGCTTGCTAACCTGTACCCCTGGGTT